AACCTGAAGTACAGTAGCAGTGACTGAGAATGAACTTGGCATGGTAAACATGTTCCACATTAGACTTTATAATCTTCTGACTGCACTGCCTGCACAGATGAAGGAAGGTTAACACTCCTCCATTTGTCAATGTAGGGCTTGTGGTGTTGATGTTATTTAGCAGAAAGCTAATTTTGTTTCATCTATCCACAGGAAATTCTTTCAGAGGCATTGCCAGTTGTCGACATGCAAAGTCGAGTGTTTTAACAAACTCCAGCCAACTAAAGTCCAGTTAACTTTCTATGTTTCTCTTTCAAACATTTGCTCTTCCTGGTGCTTTTTATTTAGAAGGTGTCTTATGGTGAGACCAGACATATTGATATTGGTCTTTGTGTTCTTGACGTTAACCCCGGTTCTTTTTTCGAGCATTTCAACTATTGATTTGTTCAATATGTGAATCAGTTTTTTAAAATTTTGCAACTACGTCCAGGGAGGTTTGTTATAGTCCCATGGATCTTACACTTATTATTAATATAGCGACTTTGGTCACAGCTACATCAAGAGTCTCACCTTGACCGTGTTTGACAATTACTTATAATAAGTATTTCACAATAAGCATTTCTCTCGCTTTAATGAGGCAGTTTAACTGATCATAAGATTGGAGATGTGATATTAATAAAAGACAATAGTGTGCTTATTTATTACTAGTAATCTTGTCCAGGGTGATTTAGAAAACCTTTGAAGAAATAGCAAGAATTGTGCTTTTTTCACAGCTTCTTTGTTTTATTGTCAAACCAAAACAAAGGCATGCAGGTATACACTAAAAAGGAGCTTTGGATTAAATACAGTGCATTGTTTCAGTGAGGTGTAAAGGCACCAACACTTTTGTCCACTTCTGTACATGCAAAACAATCGCTTGCCTGAGGAGATTTCTGCAGTATGAACAAAACCAGCCTGAGGCTAGATGTAACTTTAAAATTGTGTATGTGGCATTTCAATTCTTTCATTTCAACATCAGTGGCCATTTTTCCTGCTACTAGATTTTCTCCCTATTTATCACTTACATTTTTCTTATATGTAAATTTCATTTTATAAAGAGTGGAGCCTAGGGTGTGTATCTGTAAGATACTACTCTACAGCTGTCATTTTTCCTCTGGTCCTTGTCCATGTCTGTCACCATGTGCGGAATCCAAGTATTAGCCTGTTACATTAAATGTCCTGTTGTCCTGTGCCATCAGTATGTTTCAGCTTAACATTCCAGTCTTGGTCCCAACCTCTTTCCTTTCCTAACACCCCCTGGCTACCTTCAGCCTCCTTTCTATCCTCCATTCCTCATTCCTCCCTACACGGGCTGTGAATGGTACAGTCCCAGAGAGAGGAAAAAAAAGAATGCAAGAACAGTAGAGAAAGAGAGAGGAGGGGGGAGAAGCAGCCATGCATTAAGTTATTTTTTAAATGATGGTGATCAGAGTAGAGGAGCAGGCCGAAGGGAGGAGGGACGAATAGTGTTCGAGGACCTAGGGAGGCGGGTTCACAGCTCTCCTGACCGCCTCACTCTCCCCTCTCATTGGTCGTGGTGCCTTCCAGCTTCATTAATAGGAGTTTGAGCGCAAGACATGGGTGACCCTTCTTGCCTGCAGCCTTTGAAGCAACCATGACAGCTGTCATCACTATGTACGTCAAAACCCGCCATGCTGATCTCACCCCTAAAGTGTTTGGAGGCATGACTGGCTAGATGGCAGGCATGTAGGGTGCTCTGAAGCCCCTGAGAAGAGCGTTCAAAAAAACAAACATCGTGTTTCAAAGATTATGATCTTCTCTGTGTGTGTTTAGAGAATAACATGTAACACCTCTACCACCATCCCCTCGTGTTTAGATGGTGAAAACCATTTCAAACACATCTAGATGATTCTCAATGATTGCTGGAGGTCTTGTAGATTTCAAATCAGTGCTGTGGAGAACTGTCAGACCAGTGTACAGGAGGTCCTGTTTGTCCCTGGGTTTAAAGAGCTACTGGAATCAATTAAGCGGCAGATGAGGATTACTCTGCATGTATTTGCTTTGCTGATCGCAGCCGTCAGCAGTGGAACGTCAGTGAAATATGAAGTGTTGCAGATTGGACGGGAGGCTGGCGGCTTTGCACAAGAGCTTTGGTGGTTTTAAAAGAATGCACAATGGTAAAAGGAAACAGGTGTGTGTGTGTTTGTGTGGGTTTGTGTGTGCATACTTGTACAGATGTCTTTGTGGGGACTATTTGGAGCCTACAATCTACAGTGTGAGGACAATTTGTGTGAATGAGGACACTTGTGTGGCTGGTCCTCACTTTTTGAGCTACTTTTGATGGGCTGTTGGTGTTAAGACGAGGGTTAAGTGTTAAGTTTTGATGTTTAATGTTAAGGTAAGTGTGAGTGTCCTCGCTAAGATAGATGTGCTTGCGTGTGTGTGTGACACTAGCTGTCTCATACCTCTGGCCTCATCATCTGACTGTATGCAGCTCTCTGACAGCTGCCTTCCCCCTGTGGGCAGATCCAGGGATGCACAGATGGAAGAGGAAGATCACAAGAGGTTTCCAACAGTGAAGAAGACATGAAAGGGAGCAGAGAAGGGCATAACCATGTCATTAAAAACCTGACAGGATATGATTTTGTCATTCAGAAATTAATTAGTGAATTGCAAGGATCAGGATACAAATGGTGCTGGGGTTAAGGATTCTGTTCCCTCAGGGCCCATGAGTCCCAACAGTGGCATTTTGCAGTAAGTCTTATGTGATTAGTGCTCACCAAATGGCCTTATGATAGTTATCATATTGCAATCACAAAAAAGCATGTCAGTGACTTTTATACTCATTTTAATATCAAATTTAAATGACCATATTATTGTTGACCTACCGATCAGCAACAAATGTTTATTTCCCAGAGATACCCTCCCAATGTCCATGTTTGAAGTTCGGACTTTTTAGGGTTTTTTGGCTGTTATTTAAAATTTAAATTTGTCAGACTGTGACTGACTGTCACTTGTCTCAACAACCATTGCCCACCACATATAAAGTGGCACCCCAGAATAAATGGACTGGTAAATCCAGAAAGTCGCCGAATGCACACCAAAAACACTGTCTACGCCCTGGCTTTGATGGTAAGCAGATACTTGGAAACACTCAAGTGAACACTGAGCAGTGGACTGGTTTTCTCATTGCCAGGGCAAGCAGATGGCAGACACCAAAACAGTCTGACCACTTCCTTGGTGTGTGTTTGTGTGATTTTTGAAATCATCCAGGCATTTTGCAAGGGGTGTGTGCACCGTGGGGAGTTATGTCTTTAAATAGGCTGCTCATCACAATCCATCCATGTGTTGTTGAGTTATTTTGTCCACAGCGTATAACAACAATACCCTGCTTGTGTGGCTATACCAGCACACAGTTTAATTTTAAAATGTTGACAAAATAAAGTGACCAGCAGCTCTGACATGCATGGTGTGGATTTTCCACTCAGAAGCATAGTGTCAGTTTGTAGACTTTAAAATGGAATATCTAGTCTGAGCTTGGTATCAGCTGATGACTGTGGAATGACTGGGTGCAGGGTAATTAGGATGCTAAAGGGAATTTATGGCCATTCAGTTTTTGCAGTGGTGTGCCCTGTGCACCACACAAAATGTGATGAGATCTCTGAATACCAAGGTCTGTGCTCTTTTGGATACAAATTAGAAGCAAATATTTCAAGATATCAAAAGCTGAACAGGCAGCAGCGATATTCATAAAATTGTGTGAAAGAATATCACTGTGTTCACATACACTGTTTTCCTGCAAACCAAAACATATAAGTAGACAGAACATATTAGTACACAACATATTAATCACTCAATAAAAAGAGGACATAACATTGTACGCACTACACAGTCAAAAGGTGCACAGTATATCTGAGTAGTGCAAAGCAGAATAGTGGAAAAATGCATTGAGAAGTGAAAGTCATGTTCATCCACAGGATGAGTAAAATGGCATGTTATTGTTTTAACATTTCAAATTTATTTTTGGAAACTTGTTATTATTTTAGAGACATAAGAAGTAGGTCATGCTCTAGAAAAGGTCCGGCAGTAGGGCAGTTTAACTGGCGCCAGTGTTTTTTCCAGACTTTGTGCTTGCTACCAGCTTAATGTTTAGGAGCTACTTCAGTTGCTTTTATAATATAGTTGTTACATTATCCTGGTCATGGTCTGACATTTCCTCACATGCTGAAATAGCCAGATGGAGTGATGGTCTGAGTGCTGAGGAGATCCGTTGTAAAGGGCATTGCTACTGGCTAAATGCTCATAATGCAGACATGTTTGCGTGTGGGTTCATGTGTGTAGTGTACGTGAGTGTTCGGCATGCACATGTGTTTCCTTAGTTTTTCTGTAGAATATGCTGATACTGTGGGCAATCCTCCCTCTTTTTAAATGTCAAATATGTTTTTTAACATTCAGTGGCCTTTCCCCCACATGTCTGTTCATTTCTGTCTGTGACCTCGACCCAGTAACCCCTCCACAGCACCATCTGATTCACACACTATCTCAACGCTCTGCCAGCTTCAGCCCTCCCACCTACACACACACACGGACACACGGACACAGACATTCCAAAACAATTCACCAAGTTCCAGAGATTTTTTTGTCTCCCCGATCCATCAAAGATGAATGCCCTTCCTGACAGACACACACCCTTACCAAATCCCCAGAGAACTTGGTTTTGTCATGTGACAAGTCACACACACAAACACTCACACAGAAGGTTGATATTCAATCAAGTGTTTACAAAAGTGAAAAGAAGGAAGGCTTGAGGCCAGTGTCTGTGACTATCTCTTTGTCTCTCTGTTCACTACTTTTTATAAGGGGAAAAATTTTGACGGACACTTAAATACAAATGATTTCCGCTCTGAATCTGGAACTCTGAATGTCTAGCATACTGCATCCTCTCTGACATCTGCACTAAATGTTTTTTTATCTCTCTTTCCACATGCTGCCGTGGACCTTGAACCTCCCAACTTCATCAGGAATCAGTCCAAGGTACCGACACACACAAATGCACACAGACATTTTTAACACTGAGCTAATTCCATGGTAGTGAATCACCTCTGTCAAACAAATAAGCCACTGTTTTTCTTCAACTTAGTAGTTTATGAGCTCTGTAAAGGCTGTGATAAAAACCAGTGAGTCTTTTTAAATTAGCATTAACATCTCAGGAATTACTGTGTATTGATATTTTCCTAATGTGTTTTTCTTTCACCTGAAAATGCCCACACATGCTACATATGTACATTTAATTTCTTGGATGACAGTCAATTAAGAATAATATGTATTGTTTATATGTACAAACAACAGTCATACTTGTTTTCTCCCCCCAAAAAGGAGCATTGGGGCTACTTAAACATTTTGCGATCTGACAAGAAATATATTCTGGAAATATTAAGAAACATGAAAAACATTTTTTTTAAATGTATCTTAATGAGAATAAAATCATACATTTTATGAGAATTAAATTGTAATATTATGAGAATTAAGTCATGATATTAAGAGGAAAAAGTTGTAAAGATAGTCATGGTTTATACTATGTGTTATTGGTATATAGGATATCGGAAGATCAGCTTCTTGTTAATGTATTCTTTAGTACAGGTTTCACAAATAACAATATACTTTATTATAATAAATACTTTTGGCACATCAGCACCATATTATCATAAATATCAGAACTTAGAGGAAGTTGCCGTTGTTAGTGTTGCTGTGTCACAACCAGCCTGCCTGTCTCTCATGCTGGTGGTCTTCATGCTGTGTCTCCAGGTCTTTGCCTACGATCACTGTTTCTGGTCCATGGATGAGACAGATAAGGAGAAATTTGCAGGTTTGTTTATAAACACTGTTAATGTCATGTCATTGCCAATCCAAGCTCTGAATAGAGATTGTTCACAGTTAGACAGGATGACATGCTCTGTGTGGTTGTCTGTCTGTGTGTGTGTCTCCAGGTCAGGAGGTGGTGTTCCAGTGCCTTGGGGAGAGTCTTCTCAACAATGCCTTCCAGGGCTACAATGCCTGTATATTTGCCTATGGACAAACTGGTAAATTACTGTGATGTACCTCACTGTTCTGTCAGTATGACGTAAATATCCATTCAATTGCCAGTTAAGTAGGTACAGTACATCTAGCTTAAACAAATGCAGTTCTATAACTGTTTAAGAGAGACTGGAGTTTGTGCTTAACTCTGACGTGTGTTTCTGTTTGGTCCACCTCATTTATATCTGTGAGGTTACACTACATTACCTAGCATTATAACTTTCAAAAATAAACTAGCCACTAAGTAATAGAGTACATAACTGCAGGAGCGGTGCGCAGTGCACACATACCCCGACCAAGCCCTATTTCTCAATTTTAAATAAGTGAAGAAAATCCTGGATCCACCCTTTTGTCCAGATCCTTGCCAAAATCGAATGGCTTGGCCCATGTCTCATCCTTCCGCCAAGTTTCGTGGAAATCTGTTCAGTATTTTTTGCGCAATCCTACAAACAATAACAACAAAAACAAACAAAAAACAAACAAACAAGCCCATGAACAGGGGTGGAAAAAAAAAAAAAAAAAAAAAACCTCCTTGACAGAGGTTAAAATTTCTATGTACCATTAATAGCAAAGTGCCTTTAAGTATTTAGTTAAATGATTAAGAGGAGTGTCAGTGTGGATGTGTTGTGGCAGGAAGCTTGGCCAGCCTCTCCTTTCTCCAGAAGGAAAGACATGCCAAAGCTCAGAGTAAGTCTTTAACCAACAGCAGAACGTCAGAGCCACCATAGACATGCACATTGTTGCTGTGACTCAAACACACCTCACCAGTGTCAGGGAGGCAATGTAGATATCTCCAATGGCCTGTTTATTGCACAAGACCATAAGTCATAAAAGGCTTGATTTGCTCCTTCCCTTTACTAGTGTCAAGATGAGTTGTACAATACATGAGGTTGTATTTGACAGTCAATGACTCAGAGGGAGTGGCATAACTCAAAGTCTGTCCTCATATAATACATCTATACTCATACACCTTTCAAATCTCAAGTAGCACCATTGCATCACGTTTGAGTGTGTGTCTGTGTTGTCCGCAGGTTCAGGAAAGTCTTACACAATGATGGGTTCAGGGGACCAGCCAGGTCTGATTCCGCGCCTGTGCAGTGCTTTGTTTGAACGAACCCAGAAGGAACAGCGGGAGCAGGAGAGCTTCACTGTTGAGGTTTCCTACATGGAGATCTACAATGAGAAGGTCCGGGATCTGCTTGACCCCAAAGGGTATGACCTCAACCTCAAACTTCACAGATTGAACTGTAGGCCACAGTGGCTTAAACACCACCCACAGAGCTGCATTCTTATTTACATTCCCTTACACAAGCCAAATTTTATGCAGGTTTTTATGCTGATTGTATCTTTGTTATGTTAACATCCTGTTAAAGCATTTAAGTTATTGCAGCTGATTGACATTTAAATCTTCCACAGGTGCCTAATAATAAAGGCAAAAATGTCCAAACATATCTTACAAAACAGTTAAATGTTGACCCATGTTAGATTAATTAAAAAATGACCCATGGACATAAGTTCCATTGCACTTAATTGGAATTTAGGATGTCACAAACATTGGGGCACTAACCTCAGATATATGTTATCTATACTGCTGCTTTCAGACTCCACTGGTCCTCTATTTTCTCCAGAGGAGGTGCATGTGTGAACGCAAATGTCTGAGTAAGACGCTCCACAGTCTGTCTCTGCTTGGCCCCCTAGTATTATGTCACACAGCAGAGGATTCACCGCGAGCGTATGGAAAAATGAAGAAAACAAATATCTCCCGGGCTGGTGAAATGGCAGTGACACACGCATATAAGACACTGACTCGCCTGAATAATGTGGAGGATTTGTTGCTGTTGTGAACACATCTGTGCAGAGAACCTCCCGCTGTGTTGTGCATGTGTGAAAGGCAAACTGCAGGAAAACTGTGGATTTTACCCACAGGTCATGTCTGAAAACGGCTGTCTATCTTTGCAAGTATATTTCAAACTAAACAGCCAGTATCATGAGTCATTTTGAGTTCTAAGCTTCATGTTAGTTGGTATCACCAGCTGCTTTGGTCAGTGGATAAAGGGATCATCATCCTGCCCTGCAGTCACTGACGGAGGCCAGTTCATGTCCAGCAGGTCAGCAGTAAATCAGCAGCACAGGCCTGTGTCTGCTGCCCCAGACAACATAACCTCTGCCCTTCACTCGCTGCATGACCTCTAACCTCTGTAAAACGGGCCAAAGAGGAGAGGACCATATGACAGCCATATGGGCTTTGCAGTGGAGCAGAAAATGATGAAGTTCTCAGGCCAGCAGCAAGTTTGAATCTGTGAGCAAAGTGTTTATAAACTGTGTGTGAACTGGGGAAAGTTGTAGTGGTCTCCAGAACCAGAGTTTATGTTGTCATTCCTGCTATAACAGCCGATAAATGTGTTTTAGTAAGTGTGACATTGTTCTTTGTCTGTTTTTATTAACCTGCTTTTGGTTTCTGTCCAGGGGTCGACAGACTCTGAGGGTGAGGGAGCATAAAGTGTTGGGTCCCTATGTGGATGGCCTATCTCGACTAGCTGTGGCCAGCTACAAGGTAAAATATTTATCTTAAATAGTTTTTGTTACAAGTTAATGACAGTTTTAGCGATTCCCTCATACCCCAACTTCCACTAGACACTGGATTCAATCTTATCACATTTTTTTGTTGATAACTAGCACACTTGAGCGTAATATCTGACCAGCATTCACTCTTAATTTGAACTTTGAGCTTTAGGGTTTGTAAAAGTGTTGCTCAAATGATGGCAGCAATCTGTTTAATAGTCCTAAAGCACCAATCACAATGGAAAGAGGTTGGCTCAAAAAGTATTTGAGTTACTAACATAAGGCTTCCTATATAGGCAGTCTTTATCAATTTCAATGGTCACCAAATATATACAATCTTGGAGGCCATCAGCTGTTGTCTGATGATGAATTAGCCTCTGGGGGTAAAGGACAATATTTTGAGGCTTCCAGTGTAGACAGCAGATATCTGGGCCAAGACTCTGTCTTTCGTTTGATGCACACTGTTCGTGCAAGTCAAATGTTCTTCCACACACTGATACAGGTGTATTAGGTCCACATGTCATCTTGACTAACCTTTATCAACAGCTATCTTTATATGAAAACAGATAATTAAAAAGGTGTTTTTCTGTCGATATGTTCTTTCAGCAATCTAATTCTGCTGTAACGTGATTGGTTAAACTATAAATGAAAACCCGAAAGCTTAATCTTAACCCTCCGCTACAACTGTTTATAGAGATTATCAAATATATAAACAAGCCAGGAGTACGTCAAACACGGTGGTGGGTAAGATGTTCTTTAAAAGCTGTCGAAAAGTCCAGTCAAAAAACGGAAGAGATTATTATTATTTATTAATCCCATGTGTTTTGTGTTGTTCTGACAGGACATCGAGTCTCTAATGTCAGAGGGGAATAAGTCTCGGACGGTCGCTGCTACCAACATGAATGAGGAGAGCAGTCGATCCCACGCTGTCTTCAACATCATCCTCACACACACACTCAAGGACTTGCAGTCTGGGGTAAGACCCAATAATACAAATCACTGTTTGCCACAGAATTCGATTCAATCTGTGGTGGTAGCTGCCAGGGAGGCGTTATAGATGTTTTGACGGCTCTCTGACACGGCAGGATTTCTCCTGGTGCTGCTGATGCTGCTGGAGCGAGCTCTCGATTGTTGTCTGAGTGTGTGGTTGATTTAGTTTAGCCATCAATCATGTGTAATTGTAAAAGTCCACTAGATAATTGGCTTTTTCGTGGCCTCCACAGGGAGTGGAGCCTTCTTCTGCTGCAGGGGGTAGGTCTGGGATAGTCACGGGGGTGTGGATTGCTGCTGTCACAGTTGGAGTTAGATCATGGTCGCTGCAAAGGGATTGTATACACTCTGCTTCTGCAGCCACAGGGCGCAGCAAACAATGGCTATGGCACCTGCATGGGGGTTGGAGCCCAGAGAAGCCATTGTTGCCATTGTCAGACAACAGTAAATAAAGTAGAGAAACTCAACAGTAGCCAGGTCAGATATATGCACTACATACAATATGTGATAGTTAATTTCCTTGAGGCTTGGATCCAATACAATAGGCCTAGAAAGTGCATGCTTTCTAGCCTGCAAACCACCATTCCATCAAAAATTCATGTAACAACAGAGATTAGACATGGTCAAACACATCTCAACAAGTTTTTCTAAAAACCAAGTAGATCTAATTCCACTAAGGATAATGAGCCTGGCCCGAATGGAGAAGCAAATACCCCAGGCTACGGTGCGACACGATGGAGAGGGAAAAATGTTCTGCCCACACTGGGAGAAAGCAGGGTGGAGGAATGGAATAACCAGCGGCTCAACGAACATGAAAATACTGTCTCTCACTGAGCACAGTCAGTGCAGCGACCAGGCATCAGCTGTCAACATAACCCAACAGCAAGCTGCAATGATAGGCCTCAGTGTGAATGCTAACGAAACATTCAACACGAAGCTGCACTCTCAGCTACAAGTTGTGTTTATAGCAGTTTAGGCTCCATTCACTGATACAGCGACTCTGTTGATGATACGGAAAAGAAACTGGAAGATCTTCTGATACTCACAGATAATATTTGACAGTGATTTCTCTTGTCTGGGAAGTTGAACTGTTCCAGGACACGTGAAACTACTCCCTGGTCCTCTGTTTTCCCAGACTGTCTGTGTGTGTGTCATTTTGTCCACTTAGACAGTGACTGGTGAGTTTTTGATCAGCTGCTGCTGTTGGAGGATGATGTCAGCTCAGCTGTCTGACCAGGAACTCTGAGAAAAGACCTAAATGACTAATTCTTCATCCCCACTGACCCACTTATAGGCTCTGCTGCTCCTTACTCTTTTTCCAGACTAACCTGTCACCAGTGAATCCTGTTAATAATTCACAGGTGTGACTGTGAGGTTGTGAGCTGATACAGGATGATCTGTTTTCAAGGAACTCCCAGAATCACAAAGTCAGTCAGTAGATTCATCAAGCAAACAGCAAACACTGTGTAGTGAGTGAGTGAATCACTTGGCTGACACATCCTGTAGTTGCTTGTATCAGTTCTTTTTTTGGGGGGTCTGGTGTATTTTATTGTTTCCTCTTTCTCAATAATAACAATAATTAACTGAAAATTTAGAATATTTCATTTTCATATTCTCAACAGAAACGTATTTATGGTTCAAACCCCCCACTAAACCAGACACCTGTTCATTTCAGTCCAGTGTGAATGATGTTCAGAGTTTATATTGTGGCACGTCGTGTGCTGCGCTGGTTGTTTAGTTCAGTTGTCTGTTTTATCTTCCACATTTGGTTGCTTTTTGTTATCCAGCAGTTGCTGTGTGGAGGATGTTGTACCAGGCTCAGTATGCAAAATACTTTTTTAAACCAACAGTCAGTAAGTTGACTGCTGAACAATGAAACAATGTTCCCAAGGCAATGAGAAGCCGTACTATCATCCATCTGGTATAGTCCCCAGAGTGTTTGCTAAATTCATGCACAGTGTGTATCTAAACAGCTACATAGAAAGAGTGGGGGAGAGAGAAGAGAGTGACCAGGGAAAGCTAGAGGAGAGCTCATACTGGTTGTTCTAATGACATGAACAGTAGCAGTACCCAAAGGTGTACATTATTATATCAATAATAACATCAGCAGTGATAACAGCGCCACCTGATCAGTGGTTCTCAAATGGGGCGTCTGTGAAAGGTTTGAAGATTCATCCATTAAAATGAGTCAGCTGGGTCTGAATCTTCATCATTGTTTTTTCACCATTGTTTTCAATGAAGCAATGCTGTAATCTGCCGCAATATCACTCCCCTTTCTTAGCCATGATGCAGTTGCCTTTCCTGCCAATACTTTAGCATGTCGTAGTGTATTTCATCAGGAACATGTCTTGGAAATGATGACCTCATGTAAAATGCATACATTTTTCATCCAGCTCTAATGGGAGTAGCAGTCAGCAGTGTGTTGTTCTTTCACATGACAAATGAGATGTGTATAAAAATAGGCTATGTCAGATCATCAAATTCAATAGCTTGAGAGCCTCACTGTAGATATTGAAGTGGAGCTCATCTATTGACTCAGGATCTGTGTTAAACAGACACTCAGTCACTCAGTGCTGGATGAGTCATTCTGCAGCTCTACAGCTCATCAAAGGATTTCCTTTCAGTAGCATGGTGCGCTCAGACACTCCATTCAAAGTTCAGCCTGTCAGTACTTTGGCCCTGTTTGTCACCAAACCCTCAGTTGTTTGCTATTTTGATCCCTGCTTTGCTGACTCCAGATAAGCATTTGCAGTTTTATCCATAATGACGAGCATGTGTAGTTATGTGATGATGCCCTGACACTTGTTCTGTGCTTAAACCTTAAAGCTGCCAAGGCTGACGAGCTGAATGTCCTGCTGATTTGGTTACTGACTCTGGTGTCAACTCTCCTGGTAACAGAATCTTTTAGTAGGGAAGACGATACCACAAGAGCTGGCATTTTCTCCTCGCCACTATCTCACCAGCCAAGTTTAAAAAATTGACACAGATCATCATAATGTCGCATTATTATTTATTTTACATTACACATCTGAGGTTGATCAATTACATTGTATATCTCCTCGCTGTGCAATGCAAAAGGATT